TTCCGGCGTCGGCGCAGCGCGGCCGGAAGTGCAGGCCCCGGAGCGGAGCCGCCATCATGGCCGACAAGATGGACATGTCCCTGGACGATATCATCAAGCTGAACCGCAGCCAGCGGGGGGCCGGTCGCGCCGGGGGCGGCCGCGGAGGCCGGGGCCGAGGAGGCGCCGCCCGCGGAGGGGGGCCCGGCCGGGGCAGTGTTGGCGCCGGGCGAGCAGGAGGCGGCGGCCCCCTGCGGAACAGGCCGATCATGGCCCGAGGCGGCGGCAGGAACCGGCCCGCGCCCTACAGCCGGGTACGGAGCGAGGCGGGGGCGGCCGGCCGAGGCCCCGTAGCCGGGGGCGGGGCCGCAGGAGCCGCAGACTGACTTGTGGGAGCAGCAGGCGCGCGGGGGCTGGGGCTTGATCCTGGGGACCGAGCGGGGCAACTGGCTCCAGAGCCGGCTGCGCCAGGAAGGAGGCGGGCCCGGCCGGAGGCCCTTTGTCTCTCCCCGCAGCAGGCAGCGTCTCGTGGCTGAGCAGTGAGGTGGGGCGAGCGGGCTCAGGGTCTCGGGAGGACTAGTCAGACCCCTGTGGGGTGGCGGGATCCCGGGCAGGGGGCTTGGACAGAGATGCTCAGTGAGAATATTTGTTCTGTTTCAGCCAAAGCAACTCCCCGAAAAGTGGCAGCATGACCTGTTTGACAGCGGCTTTGGGGCTGGGGCAGGCGTGGAAACCGGGGGGAAGCTCCTGGTTTCTAATCTGGATTTTGGTGTGTCGGATGCAGATATCCAGGTAAGAAAGCCCCCCCCCCCTCCAAATGTTGGAAAAGCCACAAAGGAGACACTTTGAGGTAGTTGGCTTGGGCATTTTGGATTAATGTTACATTTTCTGAGGTCTGTGGACCCTTCCTCATGGAATGACAGTGATCTCTAAGGCAGTTAACTTTGGACTCTTTTTTATTGTTGCAGTCACCACTTCTGACTGACTGTTTTAGTACTATCTGATGTGACTGGAATGCAAAAAAAAGTATTTTGTTCCTCTCTAGTTCATTTAATATATAATAAATGACTGAGCAAAGGTGTCTGTGTGGGAAGGCTATGATGTTTGGGTCTGAAAATTTAATGTAACTTGCCCAAAATCTGAGACATGCAGATCCCAGTAAATGCATTAGTAGAATGCTTTACAAGGTTGCATTTTTTTTTATTCTCTCCTAACTGCGATAGAGAGAGAGAGATCTTTCTCTCTCCCCACCCCTGCTTTTCTCCCAGTTCTGAACTCATATGCTGCTAGACAAAACGTACTGGCTTGTGGGGGTCCCTAATCAATTGCGGGGGGAACATGCTTTTGCGGAGAAGGGATATAGCAAAAAGCATATGAGTTATGCACTGTTCTACTCTGTGTAACTCCTATGATATTGTAAAGGAGCCAAGATCTCACAGCTGAAATGTGGCAGCCCTTGTGTTTGTCATTTGCTCTACCCAACTTCCTCGAGGCATATGGAAAGACTCTTAAGGCTAGTCTTCACTGACCATTGACAAATACATCCTAAGTATTTTGAGTTAGCCTAATACAACTAAAATGCAGGCTCACGGGTTTGAAAGCTAGCTTCCCCCTAGTTATCTATGCCCAGATTCTCGAATGTAGTTAGGCCACTAAATTTCATTGACTTCAGTGGAAATTAGGAGCAGAAATAGCTTTGAGGATCTGGGCCCTAGTTGTTAATTAAAATGACATCAGATATGCTAACCCACATCTTAGGAGCGTTAGAGGTTTTTTCAAACATGATAAACAAGTTAGATGCCTTCAGGTTGGCAGGCCCTGACGAAATATATCCTCCAATACTTGAGGAACTGGCTGAAGCGATCTCTGAGCCATTAGCGATTATCTTTGAGAACTCGGGGAGGATGGGAGACATCCCAGAGGACTGGAAAAAGGCAAATATAGTACCTAGCTATAAAAAGGGGTATAAGGACAATCCAGGGAATTATAGACCAGTCAGCTTAATTTGGGAACCCAGAAAGACAATGGAGTAACAGGCAACATGGGTTTGTCAACAAATCATGTCAAACCAACTTAATTTCCTTTGACAGAGTAACAAGCCTTGTGGATAGGGCTGAAGCAGTAGGTGTGATATATTATGACATGCATCCGAAGAAGTGGGTATTCACCCACGAAAGCTCATGCTCCAATACGTCTGTTAGTCTATAAGGTGCCACAGGACTCTGCTGCTTTTACAGATCCAGACTAACACGGCTACCCCTTTTGATACTTATAAAGTTTGTGGATGATACCAGGCTGGGAAGGGTTGCAAGTGCTTTGGAGAACAGGATTAGACTACAAAATGATCTTGACAAACTGGAGAAATGCTCTGAAATAAATAGGATGAAATTCAACAAGGACAAATGCAAAGTAGTCCACTTAGGAATGAATAATCAGTGGCACACATACAAAATGGGAAATGGCTGCCTAGGAGGGAGTACTACAGAAAAAGATCTGGGGGGTATAATGGATCACAAACTAAATGAGAGTCAACAGTGTAATACTGTTGCAAAAAAAGCAAACATCACTTGAGTATGTGGTAGGAGTGTTGTAAGCAAGACAGGAGCCAGTTCTTCCACTCAGCACTGATAAGGCCTCAACTGGAGTACTGTGTCCACTTCTGGGCACCACACTTCGGGAAAGATGTGAACAAATTGGAGAAAGTCCAGAGAAGAACCAAAAAAAATGATTAAAGGTCTAGAAAACATGACCTAGGAGGAAAGATTGAAAAAACTGGATTTGTTTAATTTGGATAAGAGAAGACATGGGAGCAGGGCATGATAACAATGTTCAAGTATGTTAAAAGGTTGTTATAAAGAGGAGGCGGATGAATTGTTCTGCTTATCCCCAGAGGACAGGACAAGAAATAATGGGCTTAAAGTGCAGCAAAGGAGATTTAGGTTAGACATTGGGAAAAATTTTATAACTGTAAGGGAAGTTAAGCACTGGAACAAGCAACAGAGCAAGCAATTTTCAAGTGATCCAACCCCTGTCACTTGCTCCAAGCTTCTGGCAGTCAGAGGCTAGGGACGCCCAGAGCATTGGGTTGCATCCCTGAGCATCTTGGCTAATAGCCATTGATGGACCTCTGCTCCATGAACTTACCAGTTCTTTTTTTTTTTTTTTTTTTTTTGTTTTTGCCTTCGCAGCATCCCCAACAATGAGTTCCACAGGTTGACTGCGCTTTGCGTGAATAAGAACTTTATTTTGTTTGTTTTAAACCTGTTGTCCATTCATTTCAGTGGGTGACCCCTGGTTCTTATGTTATGTGAAGGAGTAAATAACACTTCCTTATTCGCCTTCTCCACACCAGTCATGATTTTATAGACCTCAATCGTATCCCTCCTCAGTCTTCTCTTTTCCAAGCTGAAAAGTCCCAGTCTTATTAATCTCTCCTTATATGGAAGCTGATCCATACCCCTAATCATTTTTGTTGCCCTTCTCTATACCTTTTCAAATTCCAATAGATCTATTTTGAGATGGGGTGACCAGAGCTGCTTGCAGTATTCAAGGAGTGGATGTACCATGACTTTATATAGAGGCATTATGATATTTTCTGTCTTATTATCTATCCCTTTCCTAAAGCTTCCTAACATGCTCATAGCTTTTTTTTGACTGCCACTGCACATTCAGTGGATGTTTTCAGAGAATTATCCACAATGACTCCAAGATCTTTCTTGAGTGGTAACAGCTAATTTAGACCCCATCATTTTGAATGTGTAGTTGGGATTGTTTTCCAATGTGCATTACTTTGCATTTATCAACATTGAATTTCATCTGCCATTTTGTTGTCCAGTCACCCAGTTTTGTGAGATCCCTTTGTAACTCTTCGCAGTCAGCTTTGGACTTAATTATCTTGAGTAATTTTGTATTGTCTTCAAATTTTGCCACCTCACTGTTTACCCCTTTTTCCAGATAATTTCTGAATACGTTGAACAGCACTGGTCCCAGTACAGTGACACTGCTATTTCTCGCTCTCCATTCTGAAAACTGACCATTTATTTCTACCTTTTGTTTCTATCTTTTA